GCCCTTGTCCCCCATCACCCACCCGCCTTACTTGGACAAATCTAGAGGGGAAGGCGGTCATCTGGTTTTGAGCACTGGGAGAGATGGCTGGGAACTTCTGTAGGGAGCCCAGCTGCCCTCCCGGCTGCCAGCCGCCTGGGAACTGGGGAAACAGGAGCCAATGGCATGAATGCACCTGAGCCCCGGCCTGCATCTTGCTGCCCCAGGACCTGGACAGAACTTCTCGGGATCCCCTCCAGCTGATGCTGAGGCCCCTCTGGGGACAGCATGCTGGCTCATGCACCCTACCCTGCCAGCTCTGGGTCTTGTTTCCCTTGGAGCCAGAACTGTAGCCTCCCAGCCTCAGCCCCTCTGGCATCTCCAAGGGGAAGGAGCTGGGGCAGCACCTGTGCCTCCTCAGTGGGGAGCTTCCTTGAAACTTTCTCAGCACTGTGCCCTCCTTTCACAATATCCTCTTTAATAGTGTGATACTCGCAGCAATCGTGGGAGAAAGGTGTTGTTTCTTTCCACACAGACAGAGCATGGAAGCTGGCACGGCAACCTCAGGTCTGCCTCCAACCAAAGTCCATGCTCTTCCCTTTGCTTCCTCCCTGACAGGCACCTGCAGGTGGCCGGGCCACAGCTGCTCCCTGGCACCTATTATCCCTGTGCCCCTCTGGGGTGCCTTAAGACCATGGCTCAGCCAGGTAAAAGGACTCCTGGTGGCAATGTTGGACCCCAGATACTTTGAGCCCATCCTAGGGAACCTTTGAGATGAGACCTCGGGCTTAGAGCTCTGCCCAGGGCTGGTTTTCCAGCCGACAAGTGGCTGGTGACTAGAGAAGGCTGAGAGTGAAGTGAGAATGAAACAACTACTACAGAGTCCTTCAAATGCCTAAAAGGGGAAAGACTAAAGAAAAAACCTCCAAGGATTTAGCTGCTTTAGGCCTTTCCTTGAATGAGGAAAGCAGACATGGATAGAGTCCGGCAAGAGATCCATGGGTGCGTTATGCTTGGACCGCACCCTTCACACGCAGGGCTTGTGCAGGGCCAACTTCTCCTATAGTGGGGGGAGAGGATATGGTGACCCCTGGGCCCAGTTGCAGATCCCTGCCTCCATCTTGCCGCCTCTAAGGAAAGCTGGACAGAGCTAGAAGAGCACCTCCCTGCAAGACGACGGCAGCCCAGGGTTCTTGGATCCTGCTCAGGGTGGCCAAAGGCCAAGCCAGCTGTGCCCTGATGGGCATACACAAGTGCAGGGATAGAGGCACCAAGGCAGGCAGGCAGGAGCCAGCTCTGTGTTTCCCTCAGAGAAGTCTGGCAACTGACCAGACCTCAGTGAGGCTGAACTCTACCCTGGGAGCAAGGATCACCCCAGTGGGTACCTGAGGACAAGGGGGAGCAAGGCAGGGCCAGGCAAGGGGAAGGTAGGAGACACAGCAAGCAAGTGTGGTGTGAGCTAGCCTGTGCCTAGAGGCAGCTCCAAATGCAGGACGTTCCAGATTCCCCAACCCCTAACCCC